CCTCCAGCACCTGCTGACTCAGACAAGGGAGTGGAGCAGGGGTTGTTGCTGCACTGCCTTTGAGTGGGCAGCTTCTGAAGGAGGCAGACAAGGGAAGTCTGTGCTCCTGCCGTGACTGGTGAAATGACTGAAGAGGAGGAGGAATGGAGCATGAGCCAGCTGGTGAGTGGGGGAATCCAGCCAGACTGGGTGGGGGACAGGATCACGTGGTACAATGATCCAGCACGATCTGGCAATTTGGATTTGTGTCCATCTCTAATAAAAAGTAAAACATCTGAGAAACTGGCCAGATGATTTTGTCACACAAACATAATACAGCCACCCTCTGTTTCCCTTTTGCACTTAGTAGCTTCTGTTGATTGCAGTGCTGGCCCAAGACATTTTGCTGATAAAGATAGAGCGGGAATTGATGCTGCGTACTCACCCAAATCAAAATGCATAGTACCCAAGGCCAGCCAAGTTGTTTTGATGCATGAGATGGAAATGTCCACAAAGAACTCCTCCCCATCAGTCAAAATAAACTGAGGATAAAATAAACAAAGAGCAATTGGCTACTTTTTCCTGATGTGCTGAAATCTGCTCCTTGTAGTGGCTCTCTTTCATTAACTAATGACAAGACTACTGAGAATACTGTTGAGTTAAATTGTAAAGGTAGAGATGGGCCTGGGTCAGAAAAATGATGATTTGTCTTGATTTGTGATTCGTCAAGGTACAATTTTTTTCTGATGAATCGATTAATAGATTTGTCCATTTGCTTTTTCATTTAAAAATATATAAAATAGTCCCACAAACACCTAGAGACACCACAATTGCAGAGCAGCTTTCCCTGTCTCTCATCTACAAGCTCTTCAAATTTGGTGAAGTTTGGGTTTTCAGATGTCTGAGCTATACTGTACATCTACAAATAGCCCTCCTAGGAAAATTCCCTCCTAGAGACACCAAAATCACAGTGAAGCTTCCTGTGACTCTCCTCTACAATCCTTCCACATTTGGTGAAGACTGGATTTCATACATCCAAGTTATACACTTACATAGTGGATCTCCCCAGGAAAGTGCCCCCTAGCAGCTGGCTTGGGGAAACCCTTTCTTCACCAAACTGGGAGATATTGTAGAGGAGAGTCAGGGGAAACTTCTCTGTAATTTTGGTGTCTCTAGGTGCCTGAGGGGAAATTTCCTGGGGGGGGTGCTCTTTGTAGCTATAGATCTTGGAAATCCAAATTCCAAACTTCATCACACTAGGAGGGACTGTCGAGGAAAGTTGGGAAGTATTTCTGCAATTTTGGTGTTTCTAGATGCCTGGGGGAGCTTTTATTGTCAGATGAGTCAACAAATAAAAATCACTAAATATTTGTTGATTCATATTTGTCAAGAACATTGATTCATAGAAATATGAATTGATGGATTAGCTATTTTTGATGAATTCTGCAATTTGTTTTTCAGTTCATGCTCATTTCTAGCTAAAGGGTAACTTTATGTATGTTCCTCTACAAATGATATGACTTAGGTTGAGGGGGAAAGATCCCACCTCCTCTGAAATTATTGATACATTTTCTGCAGAATCTCCCAGTTCCAAATAATAGAAAATAATGATAGAGCAAGCCCACTGACCAAGTTTTTTGCACCTCGGGTTATGTTCACCTTATATTAATATGCAGAGTTTGGAAGTAACAAGTTGCAAGTAACTAACTCATTGTGCTATGGAGTGATGTTTAACTGTTTAATTACTGTGGCATATTTACTTGCTTGTTAATATTGTGATATTTTGTACTTGTAGCTGTTTTTGTATTCCAAATATTTTGCAAGGTATTTTGAAGTCCTTTATTGAGATAAACGCAGAATATAAACAAAATGAATGAATGAATGAATGAGTTAGGTTTGCAGAGGCCTTGCTTGCATTGCAGATTGATGCCCTCAGTAAACAGACTTTATCTATACGCAGAAGTGGAGATGGAAGTGGCCTTGTCCAAAAACAGTGTTCAATGGGTCAACTCCAGAAAGGTTTTTCCTGTACTGCATGTTTATCAGGCATCCTAAGCTCTTCCACTGCCTCAGAGAGGAAGTGAAATGAGCAGAATACTGCAGTGGTGACAGCAGATGATGATGGCAGTGGTGATTCTGATGACAGTATCCTGGAAAATATTTTGCGTCACTGAAAACCAGTGCTTTTCTAAGGCATCCTTCCTATACTGCCTGGTTTCAGAACCCCTTGTGAATTGCTATTTAGCTTAATGTTGAAAGAGATGGCTATATATAATAGAATTGTTCTCAAAATAGCCAGGGTGCAGTTGCTGGGGTGGTCTCCATGAATTTATGTCTTGCTCCTGCTCTGCTTCTTCTTCATTCTTCTTTAGAAGGAAGAAGGTGGTGGCTGTCATCACCAAAGCTGAAATCCAACTCAGGAAAGCTACTCAGAGTAGCAGCAATTCTCCAAGGCAGTATGGAACCTGCCAGGGTGGGATGGTGAGCAACAAATTTGCTGCCCCCAGAATCCCACCTCTTGAGGCAACTGCCTCCATCAGAATAATGGTAGGACTGGCTCTGATGCTCATTATTCTTTGTTATCAGAGCATTGCCTCAATCCAGTTTTGAGGTATGGTGTTGTTAATTATGGTTACAGTGAAAACTGCCCACACCACAAAAATCCAAGTCTTTGGAGCATGCCTTCTCAGGTCTGGGTATGTGATGTCACAATGTTGTTGGTTTGGCTGTGTGAATTTGACATGCAGTATCCTCATATCACAATCGCTTTCTCTTGTACTGCACGTGATTGTTTCCTGATTTATCATTTGTGCTAGCACTAGGCTGCTTAGATTATGAGACTGTTAAAATTTATTTTGTCCATTCATCTTCAAGATCAAGTTGAGCTTTGGACTTCTAGATCCTAGGCTTCCCCCATCCACTGCACAGCACTGATCAGTGATCTGCATCCAGTTGAGAATGGCTTTAAAAATTCCACAGCTGTCCCTGGTTACCCTTTATATGAGGATGTCTGCTTTTTTCAATAGCCAGATTCTTCTTTACATTTATAGCTCTTATGGAATTCTCCCCCAATTGCTTCACCTGCTACAGCTCAGTGGAAATACTCTGCCAATTATTTTGTTGTCTTGTAGCCAGTGTGGGTAATTGAATCCTGGAAGGTATTCAGGAATGTTAATTACTTGTCATCAGCAAGATGAAATCAGGTGCTCACATTGGAATTCATGAGATGTTTCATTAGATGTGGTCTATGAACAGCAAAGGGTCTTATTATCTGTTGTAAAAAGCAACTGATCTTTTGCTTTGCTGCCATTTGATGCACGAAATGCATCTTTATGAAGTAGAGATTTTTTAAAAAAATAATTTTAAATCTTCTTGTTTCATCCAGTCCAAATGAGCTTTTTTAAATTTAAAAATGACTTCATGAGCTTTAGTTTTTGTGAATCTAAATATATCCTGCCATCTTTTTTGCAGACCATATACTAAGGCTGATTCACACTATCTTAAAAAACTACTTGCCCAGAAACAAAAGTTATTTACAGACATGTGGATTGAAACGTGAAAATCAGACAAGTCCAATATATAAAAGGCTGCAAAGCCCCATACGAATAACCATGTCAAAATAGAGTTTAACTTCATATATGTTGCCATCATATGTGGATTTTGTCAATTGATTGCCTCTCCTTCCATGGCCCCAGAATATCTTGCTTTGCTCCATAGTGTTGGCAGGACATTTTTCTGTGGGCATGTTAGAGTGTCATTTTTTTTAATTATTATTTATATACTGCCTTTTCCCCAAAATTAGGATTCAAAGTAGTTTATAAAAAAGATTGAAAACAGGTACAGATAGAGGCACAAAATGTCTTATTAGTGAAATAACATTAAACAATATCACGCGACCATTGAATTTCAAAGGCAATTTACCAAAAAAAAAGAAAAAGAAAGAAGAAGTAGCAAAAAGACATGATGAAAAACACAGCACACACCTGAATCCTAAAAGCCCCTTGTTCAGAAGGCAGTCGAGTACCCCAAAATGAATGCAAATATCTTTGCCTGCCGGCAGAAGGACAGCAGGGACAGTGCCAACCCAGTTTCCCTTGGTAGAGCGTTCCAGATGTTCCACTGAGTGGGAGCAGTCAGTGAGTAGGCCTTGTCTTGTATTCTCATTGCTGAGGATAGTAAGAGGAGCACTTCCACTGAAGATCTTATAGCTCAGGTAGGCCTGTATTAAAAAATATGGTTCATAGATAAGCTGGGCACAAGATTACTAACTATCGACAGTAATTCTGCCAAGTCATTGTGCCTGATGTCCTTGCTCTCTTCTTTCCAGTGGAACAACACTTACTGTGCTTCCTAGGAACTGCTCAAATGGCATATAAGATTGCAGTCTTACGTAAATGTTCAAAATAATTTTTAAAGGTCTGCGGAACAACACTTACTGTGCTTCTTAGGAGCTGCTCAACTTGCATATAAGATTGCAGTCTTAAATGTTCAAAATAATTTTTAAAGGTCTGAACTGTCTTTACCTAGCACTGGAAATATGTTAAAGGCACAACACAAGCCTTTCTGGGAAGTGACCCCACAACTGTTAATCCTTGAAAATCTTGATTGTATTTCTTGGAGTTTCAGGAAATTTAGAGCTTTTCCTTTTCTACTACTTATCTTCTGGTTTCTAATTTATTTGGTATCATATTTTCAAGCATGATGTCTATATTCTTGAGAGCTAGATTTAAAAAAACAGCAACAACACAGGAATTTCCTGGTTTCTAACATAACCCTACTGACCATTAAAACAACAACAACACAGGAGTTCCCTGGTTTCTAACATAACCCTACTGACCATAAACACATGATTCTGTGGCTACACCTCTTTTCTGGTCATTAAGAGATTTGTGTAAGAGTTAGGATGCAATCGCCAAACCACCTAGGATGCTTCTGTCAGTTCTTACAGATCCAAGCTGAACTTGATCTTGTCTGAATCTCCCACTTCCTACTATTGTAATACGATCTCTTAATTCTTGTAGACTGTGTTTGAGAGGAATTGCCAATCAGAAGATTGTGCTGCTGATCTGAAACTTGAGGGAAAACTGTTTCTATCCAGGTGAGTGACAGCATTAAATTATGATATTTCTTCTTCTTTAAAAAAGCACTCATTTTGATTACATGGCAGGAATTAGGAAGGTGAAGAATTCCCACATCTTAAAAAGTGGCCTATTCAAAGCATGCAAATTTCACTTTGCAAATTCTAGTGTTGTCCTAAAAGATGCTTTGGTGACCCATTGCACAGGGTTCATGTTAACAGGACCAGTGACTTCAGATCAGTACCAGATTATCTGACGATAGTAGTTAGAGATGGGCACAAACTGCAGTTCAGTGGGATCTGACGATAGTAGTTAGAAATGGGCACAAACTGCAGTTCAGTGGTTTGGCCCAGTTCAGTGCCACACAGGTGTTATGTGGGCACTGTGCAATCCCCTCTCCTGGCTCCTCTGTGCGCTCACACATTTGCCAGATGACGTGCACTTCCCTCCCCACCTTCTCAGTCCAACTGCCCATTCACCAATCACAGTGCTCGCTTACCTCCTCCGCCTCCTCTGGTGGCTGCCCACTCAAAGGGCAGAGGAGGGAAGCTCTGCAAGCTTCCCTGTCCTGCTTTCTTGTTTGAGTGGATGGCTGCCAGAGGAGGCAGAGGAGGGAAGCATGGACTGCAAATGGTGAGTGGTCAGTCATGATAAGAAGGTGGGGAGGGAAGCATGTCCATGGAATATCTGTGCAGGCGTGGCATTGAACAGGAGGCAGAGGAGGGAAGCATGGACTTCAAATGGTGAGTGGTCAGTCACGATAAGAAAGTGGGGAAGGAAGCATGTCCATGGAATATCTGTGCAGGCGTGGCATTGAACTGGGACGAACCACCAAACTGCAGTTCATGCCCATCTCTAATACAGTGGGGTCTTGACTTAAGAACGGCTTGAGTTAAGAACATTTTGACTTAAGAACCACTCTCATAGGAAAATATTGACTTGACTTAAGTACTTAGATTTGAGTTAAGAACTGAAAAAAAAACCACGTGGGAGGCAGGGAAAGTGCAAAATGTGAACTTTCAGTTAACTGTTGGCCAGTGAAAAGGGTGCCTGTCTGCTTCCTCACTCCTCCCAGCGTTTAGAGAGTGGATTGGGAGACAGTCTTCAGACTGCCTGGTACTGTACTGCCTGGACTGTATTTTCCCTGCCTTCCCTGAACCTTTGTTGACCTAAGAAAAAAAAAGAAACAAAATATCCCCCTCTAGTGGTTGAAGGCAGAATAGCAGCTTCCCATTAGTTTCTATGGACGGAAAAGAGCAGATACGGATCAAATGGTTCTCAATGCATTCCTATGGGAAATGCAGATTTGACTTGAGAACTTTTTGACTTGAGAACCGCCTTCCAATACGGATTAAGTTCTCAAGTCAAGACCCCACTGTAGTAGGCATTAAATAATTGCTAGTAGCTGCCTGTTACTTCCAGACAGTTCTTCCTGCAGTTAAATTCCTGCAAGGTACACTTGAAGGGAAGGAAATAAACAAGTTATTTCACACTGTGGGCCACTGGTAGACTTAGGAATAAAATGGATTCCCACACCAGCAGAAATAACGCTGAACTAAAACTTGGGTCCATATTCTGCTATAAATCATGTATTCTACAGATGAAAATCAGATCATGAAATTTCTGTGCTATAAATTATCATTTCACAAACTACACACAGATGGCATTTCAGATCCACTCTTGGTGGCCAATATAAACTTTTGATGGCAGCCCTTTTCTCCTATTTTCATACAAGTCAGTACAGCTAAAGAATCTACAATCATATATACCCAGTACAAAGAGCATGCGTATTCTTGTCTCCTCAATGCTTATCGACTGGGTTGTGATGAGGAAGAGGGTGTGGGGCCTCTTTTCATTGATACTCACATTCCTACTTGCTTATGCTACAGTTACCTTCCTTTTTTTTACATATCTTTCTGTCAGAAATCATTGCGCAAATGTGCAACACAAACAGGAAACTGCATTAGCTGGAGTATTATCTGTTGTTTGTTCTGACATGCCCCAGCTCAGTTGTATACTTGGTCATGTGTAAAGGCAAATGGCTACAAAAGTAGGAAAACATTGGCCAGTGTTTCCGTTGCTTCCCACTTCTGCTCCCATGTTCTAGTTAGTAGGCATATCAGAGGCCTACTCGCCTCATTTGAGAAGCAGCTGTTGAATCTGTATCTGCAAACTTCCCCTTTTATTTCACATTCTAATTAGCACATTGAGTTTTCAATCTCTCTTTGAATTTGCTTTATGCAGTGATGGTAAACTTGTCCATTGTATCTATGCTTGATCCTCGAATATGTGAAATATCTAGGAGCATGGGTGCTGTCATCACTGCAGTCTGGCACAGGGCATGCAGTCCTTGGGTATTTTGATTTGGGGTTTCAGTTTATTCTTGAACTCATATGATTTCTCATTCCTGAGCTTGAGCCTAGCATATGGGCCCCAGATGAGCTGCTTTTGTGAATGATACTTCTGATTCATCTGGCACCTCTCTCTTCAAGTTACCAGTGATAATCTGGATCAAGATAATGACTAGATACATTTGTTTAAGAATGGTCCGGTAGTATTTCTCTACCAGGCTGAATCTGGCCAATATTTTTGCCCATCTGGAAAAAAGGTTACCAAGAGAATACATATGGCAATCATGTGTACAAACATATTAGTCATAATAGAAGAAGAAGAAAGAATGATTATGATGATGTAATGATTTTAAAAGACTGTTGAATACATTGTTTGCTGCTTCCTTTCTTTTTCTTAATGTTTCAAGTGGTAGTGTAGTATGTGCTTGGTTTGTTTTATTTATTTATTTCATTTATATACTTCCCTGTTAATATCATGCGGTTCTGGGTGGTTCACAACAAATAAAACCACAGACAAATAGCATAATATGTGGTTTTATTTATTTATTTCATTTATATACTTCCCTGTTAATATCATGCAGATCTGGCTGGTTCGCAACAAGTAAAACCACAGACAAATAGCATAATATGTGAAACTATAAAAAACAAAACCATCAGAAGAGCAGTAATACAAAGGCACTTTCTATAAGAGCAAAAACAGAGGCCCATCATCAGGCAGGATTGTTCTATATTTGTATCATTCTCACTCCTGTTTCTGAAATGGGTGAAGAGAATTGCAGAATAGACCTGTTTAACCATCTATGTAAAATTTACTTGCATTTGTTAGTTGCATTTTACAGTTGGAAATAATCTGGGAAAGAGGATATAGGCCCTGTTTTGAATATTCCAGTAACAAAACCAGACTTTAAAGTTGTGGAGGAGCATATAAAAGATAATGTGCCTACATGGGATACCAAGAGGGAGAGATTCTCTTGGTTATTAAAAATAAGCAGACAGAAGAGAAAAATTGACAGGTGCCACCCTGGGGCAGAGTGGGCAGGCAACTCATAGCAGTGCAGCTAAGGAGGAAATCCTGCCTGACAATGTTTCTGTACAAATGTAACAGCACTCTCCAGGCAGTGCCATGGGGAGCAGAATGACGCCACAGGAAGCCTTAATAGGAAAAGCAGAGGGGCCAGCCTTATCGTATAGCTTCTGCATTCCTTGTGGGGGAGAGGCTGATACAAGACTTGCAGATGGACTGCATGTTGGCTTATGAAGACCGGGGAGTGCATGTGATCACTGGATGGAACAGGACTCATTATAAATAATTATTATTGATGGGAAAACTTCAAAGGCTGTTTTTCTTCCTCCCATATACTCCCCCTGGCTAGCCTTTTCCTACACGTGTCATTAGAACTAGAGTAAGTTATTTGGCAGGATTGCTTTAGAATACCATCTTTGGCTTTAAGTCCAGCTGGCATGAAGGACTGAGAAAATGCTGTTACAAATCTATTTGCTAGCTGTCATTCATTCCATGCTATGGTAAACTACTTGCACTCATTACTACAGTACTATAAATAATCCGTCTAAAGGAAAAAAACAACTCCAACATTGGAATCAGGGGAACTTGTAGTTGATGTAAAATACACAGGATGCTGTTCTGTTGCTTCTCTTAATAGTTATAATAGTGTATAATTATGATATGTTCATAAAGCCTATGAAAATATACAGAAGGGAAGCACAGCCCCCTCCTATTTCTTTCTGTGTTGTTGGGTACATTGTAAACTTTTGGTTATAAGAGAGTAATTTATATTAGTAGTGCTAATGCACTCCTTCAAGTTCCGTTTCCAACTACAAATATCAATAATATAGTGGTTCAGCTAATTATTCAGAACTTTAGTTATTTCTAAAACTTCCTAACTGGTGCAGAGCCGCTGGTGACATGTGCACACTTGGAAGTGAGAGAAGAAAACAGACCCACCGGAATGTGTTTCCATGTAAAGATGCTGCTGGTACTATATTACTTTCAGCCCTGCATCGCAATCCACAAATAGCACAACTAGCACATCTACTTAACTATATGTGACTGTCCATCATTCAAAATATTAGTGGGCAAAAAATAAAATCTTTTATTTTTTTTATAAGTTCCCGTGAATGTGTCTGGTGGTGGAGGAGGATTATACCTATTCAATTTAAATCAACCAGCCAATCAATCCATCAAATTGATTTTTTAAAAAATTTATCACAGCTGTATAGCCTTTTCTGTCTCACAAAGGCTTTCAAAACAGTACCTAAAAGACAACTGACAGGGATCACAAGCCTTTTCTAAACTTGAGTAGAAGTCCCTCTGCCCTTTGCATCACCAAGATGCTTCTTTCCCTGATGTCAGATGTACTTTTTCCAGTTTTACTTTACTTTTTGTGTGGTGAAAGGAATGTGGCCTTCAGTGGGATCCCAACTGGGATGATGTGGAGTATGCAAAAAGGCACGGTCCGCTTTCTGTCCCACTGTCATCTTATTTTATATAGAAGGTGATGAGCAAAGGGCTTGACTGGCTCTTAAGAGGAGCCACTCCCCCAAGTGCTAACCAAGCTCTTTGCACTTAGGGTAACAAGTGATGTACCAAGGGACTCATTCAGTGCTTGGAGGAGTGGATCTTCCCAGGGCACAACCCTGTTAGGGGTGCA